AACAATCAGGACTGGATTCTCTCTTGAGAGAGAAAAAGGTAGCTAGGCCAGGAGAGACGCTTAAGAAGATATGCAATATGAAGATAAGAGGCTTCTGCCTTCACTTGTTTTGCACACAGAGCTTGAAACAGCTGTATTTGGTTGACTACATTACCATGGACCATTTGGGGTTCTCTTTTCTGCTGGAGGAATCATAATGAGGATCCTTCTGATCAAACTGTGTGTGATCAGGGTATGCCTCCTTTACGATCTGAAGCAGAAGGGGAGAAGAATGTGAGACGAGTTCCCATCGGTTAAAAACTACTGTCAGCAAAGGGTGTGAAATGCCCTTGAGCAAGCTGTGTCTAGGCATAAGAAATAATCCTGGTGCAAAAATCAGCCTTGCTCTCCCTGAACTCCATTCTAATAGCGCGATCGATTTCCTTCCTTTACATTCCTTGGGTTGAAGCACTGCAGAACACTATGGCTGTCAAAGCAGTATCAGCACCTCTTCAGAAAGCAGCGTGGAAGGAGCACACGCAACAGAGGAAAACGGGGTAGATGATGATAGTCTTCGCGACGAGGTCTCCCCTTAAAGAAAAAGCTTTTCTGTGCCCTAGGTTTTATACTACTGCCTTGCAGGCTCAGATGACTAGAATTTAGTGAATCAGTTTTTAATCAGGGTGTGGAGCAACACTTGACTTGGCTGGAAGGGCTCTGAAATGTCACTAGGAAAACAGCAGTGTGGTTCCATTTCTCTGGGGAAACATGCTTGAGTCAGCCCTGCTGTGGTATGCGCCTGTGGTATGGGCCTAGATGCCCCAGGCTCATTCGCTGCTCTTCGTAGATGACTCTTGCACTCCTTGGACAGAAGCAGGGCTAATGAGCTGTTTGATAAGCCATCGATTATCACTTCTCGCTGCTACCCGAAACACAGAACAAGAAAGAGGCACTCACCTTGACAATGGCAACGATGCCAGGCTCCTTACAGTTACTGTGGTAGAAGAAGGCCTGCTGGCCAAGCTTCATGGCTCTCAGGAAATTCCTTGCCTGTCAGGTGTAAACGAGAGACTTTGAGCTCTTTGTATCAAGCTCTCACGGTCTCATTCTAAGCAGCTAGGAACAAGAACTAACAACAAGAGAGGTATATGTCCTTCAGAGCTACTCAGATAAGGTTTCCTACAGTCATCATACAGATGTTTAATGCTGCAATGAAATGAAGCAAAAAGGAGGCTAAAGAGCAAGATCCTCTCGGTTAGAAAGTATGCGGGAATTTAACAGCTCAGCCACCCTCGTTCAGAGATAGCAGAAGACTTATGCTAGTTGTCAGCAAACAAGCAGCAGAGCAGATCATAAATAGGGGAAAGTATATCTAGTATGGGGATCATATATAATAGGGGACGTGCACACAGATTTCCTTTGCAGAGAGGCCTGGAACAGAAAGCTGTACACTGACAAGGCATAGTACTTGGCTAAGTACAGACTCGCTAAAAGGTGTCAAGGGAAATAAAGGGGCTGGTCTAAGCTAAAGAAAAACTGGATGATTTGAAAGAATATTACCCAGCCTGAATCTACCTTTGACCTAGAGGCCATTAAGCACTTCTGGCTCCTGACAAAATGCACCTGTAAAAACAGGCAGCATGCCCCAAAAGGAAATACTTGAGGAAAGGGAACAAGTTATCTGTGGGGAGAGTCACCTTTTTTCTAGCGCTATTTCAGGGTTCCACCTTTGACATGTGCTCCTTACCTGGTAGTTTCTTACTCCATCCCAAAAAGTTGTCTGATTGGGCTGAGCTTTCAAGTCGTCAATGCTGAACTGCCAAACGGAATGAAGATACAGGTTAAGTTCAGGAGGCAGTCTGATCTTTATTGTCTACGCTGTGCCTAACCACTTGTTCCCAGTAACTCCTTCAACTGTGGTACAAACTTCACTCGATTTTTTTGGTTCCTGCAGGGGCTAAAGAAAAGCCTTCACAAAGGAGGAACACTGCAGCAGTGTAAAGGCAAAGTCTGAAATAGATGCTGCGCCTGCTACCAACAGCTAAGCACCCTGAGGACCCAATTTCCTCTTTTATTACAAGTATCAAGCCCCAAGGTTGTCACCCCGGTAGAGAACAACATTATGTCTTTCTGTTTCCAGGAACACAGACGGGTTTTGAGAAGTAAAGACACAATAGTGTTCATATTGCAAACAACCTGCATTGTTTGATCCTGTAACCCAGCTTTCAGCTCTGGATAGTAGTGAAACTGCCTCTGTGCTTTGCTGAGCAAGGATGGGTGTCGGTGCTTACTTTCACATCCACTCCCTTCTCGAGCCTGCTCTCTGGTTCCGACTTCAGAAGCCAGTGACAATACGTTATCTTGCTTTCCTCCCCACCGCCTTCGGATTCTTTTGTCTTCTTCCAGTTCTTCCATCCTGACTTGGAACTCCCAGCTGGAGGTTTTGTGGACTTTTCTTCTTCCTCCTGATCCGGAGTCTCCTCCTCAGTTTTGGCAATTTTAGCATCAGGCTCTTTTTTATCTTAAAAGAAACAACAAAAAAAAGATTCCTATAAAACACATTTTGTTTCCGATAAGGACTGGTACTGAAACATTTTCAGTTGTCCAAGCTGGTTTCACATACTGGTATTTGACTGCAGCAGAAGTTTGGTACACCCCAGATGCTACGTGTAAGGCAGCAGCATTATGCACCAGTGTTTCTGAGTCTTTCCAGTTTCCATCTGTAGTAAGGATAAGTTTTTTTGGTGTGGCGTGCACAAACGTAGTTTAGCAGTCATAGTTAATCATTAAAAAAAGCCAGGATAGACCATGTTGCCCCCATGAAGTGTAGCTGATTTTTTTTTTTAATTAATCACTGAGAAATCAGCTGCAGGCAACAAAGTTGATTTAGGTGGGTCTGGTGAATAAAAGGAAAATTCAGCAGCACAGCAGGCTATTTCAATTACTGCAGCAGCTGAAACCTTAGATTAAGCCTCCACTGTGCTACCTGTTTCGGGGGGGGTGTCTATATCCCTGTTTGTCCAGGACCCAGACAGTAAAAACCAAGTGATTGAAGGGTAAGAAGGTGGTTATTTACTGGAATTCATTAAGCAAGTAAGTGGCACAGATGAGCCAACTGTGTAGTTTTTTTCCTCCTACACCTGAAACACCACATAATGTTGCCTCAAGTGCAAGGTTTTTGCTTCTTGTTTTCTTTGCAGATAGTACCACATCAGCTTCCTGCCACTACACTGGGTATACTTTGACTGACCATCTCTAACGCGTAGGATCTGAAAACCCTTCATAAATGAGCACGAGTTATGTTTCTTAACCACTTGGTGCTGAGAATACATCACTGTCCCTATCGCGTATCTAGCAGACTTGTTTCAGTCACACATGGATGCTCAGCCCGTTTTTACAGAGGAAATGCTGTCTATAAGATCTATGGCTCTGAAAGACAGACGGTTAAGATGACTGTCTGTACTTTCACTATAGCTTGGAACCTCAAGTGAGAGATGCTAAATCAGTTAGGATGTCAGCACAGACCTGCTACTGCTCCTTTGTCTCTCTTTCTGCTGGGCCAAGGCATCGAGAAGAATTACTGCTTATTCAGGCAAGCTGAAAACAGTGGAGATACCCAAGACAGGACAGGAAAAGCTGTACATTAAGTGGAGAGTAAGTAATTTTTCTTCCTTGAGCTCAGCCATTTCCTCTATCAGTGCAAACGCTGGCACTGGTTGGGGACCACACCCCTGGCGTGCTGGAGGCAGGCAGGCCCTCGCAGCAGCGCTTTGATGGACACTGGCAGAAGGGCTGCCTTTCTCAACAGTGGCGCAGCTGCTGGAGAAAAGTTCCGAAGGCTCTCGGCCCAGGCACGGCCCCTCTCTGCAGAGCAAGA